TCCCCCACCCCAGACCCCTCATAGCCCCCCCTCCTATAGTCCGGCATATTTGATAATCCGGCACCCCCGGGTCCTAAAGGTGCCATATTATCGGAAGTTTACTGTAGAACACTACTTAGGCAGCTGCGTAAGAGTCATTGAAGTCACAATGGGTTTTAAGCATGTGCTTAGAATTAACCCCATTAGAGGAAGAGGAAGGATGGCCTAATGGTTAGGGTGCCAGCCTGGGGGGGAGCCAAGTTCCCTGCTCCACCAGAGTCTCTGTGACTGTGAGTGTGTCACTTAGTGTGTCCGTGCCTCAGTTTCCCATCAGTAAAGTGGGGACGGCTGCACTACTTCCCAGGGATGGGGTGTACGTTATAGCTTGGGAGGCATTGAAATATTACAGTAATGGGGGGTATGTAAGTACCTTAAAATCACGGCCAGAGCTGCTAACTCCCGTCAGCGCGGCTCTTGTGCCTTACGCTGTTGCGCCCTGTTTCTGTAGTCAGCTGGTGAATTAAATGTCCTCTCTTCATTTCCAGAGGCGGATCCTGGACGGAAGCCTGGGCTTTGCTGCAGGGGTAAGTGCTGTGCCCCCTGGGACATCCCAATTTTGATCCTCTGGGCATGTTACCCAGCGACTGCTCATGTCCTAAGCTGTCCCTTTGCTTCCTCTGGCTGCGTCATCTCACGGATGTTTCTTGTATGCGGCCGAGATCTGATCGGGGAGGGATGTCCCGTGTCTGTGCCTCCAAGGGCAGGACAGAGGTGGTGCAGTGTGGGTGGATGCAGGTGTCGGTGTGGCACAAGGGAGGTCTTTTCACCGGTGTGTGTGTGTGTGTGTGTGGCCTTCACCTTCCATGCTGCTTGTCTGGATTTTTCTGACTTGTGCCCCATGGCTAGGAAAAGCGAGAGGGCTCTGATCCCGTGGAGACGTCCGCCCGTGGCGAGCTTGGTGTCGGTGTATTGCGGGGCGCTCACAAAGTCCTCATGGGGAGGACAAAGGGGCAGCCTTCCCACGATTGAGGTTCATGTAAACAGAACGTTGACGATGAGGCTGCGTGTTCTCACCCGGCACGCAGTCATTCAGGGCACGGGCGGAAGAGCCGTGAATCGTGGCTTCCGCTGCATCAGGCCAGGCAGGGTGAAAACCTCCGGAGAATTTGCGTGAACTCGGAATCTCGTGTCCTGAATTGGTAAATGGCTGTCTGGTCTTCCGGCCACTCAAATGGGTGAATTTGCGTGAACTCGGAATCTCGTGTCCTGAATCGGTAAATGGCTGTCTGGTCTTCCGGCCGCTCGAATGGGCGTAAGCAGCTGAGCAATCGGCGTGGAAATGCCTCTGGCCCTCGGTGCTCAGAGGAAGCTGCTGTCCGTTTCCCATTTCCTTTGGAGTGCTGCCGTGCCTGCGCCAGGCTGAGATGCTGCCTAGCTCGCAAGGCACCGTCCCCTTTCTAGGAGGCACGTGGCAGTGGCGAGAAGCCTGCACTTTGCCTCCTGGCACAGGAGAGAGGGTCAGGACTGTCTGTTGCAGTGCATTCTGGGTGCGAAAATATGACACGTTTGGCTTTGAGGCCAGCCCACCGCTGGGTGCTGTCTTGTCTGGTTCTCTCCCAGAATGCTTTGGGGCCTGCCTTCCCAGCCAGTGGCGTAACAGGGCAGAACATGCAAACTGTTTTGGCCTTAATTCAGAACTCACGGCTTATCCCTCTGCACCACGCCTCTGTGGCATTGTTCTAACCGGGTGTGCGTGTGTGAACGATCGCTAAATGACCCTGCAAACCGTACGGATCCTGTTGGAGGAGTGCATATCCTGGATGTGTCAGCAGTGGCTCCTGGAGCACAGGAAATGCCTGTCTGTGTGCGAGGTGGTCTGAAACCGCACGCACCAGAACTCACGGCTTATCCCTCTGCACCACGCCTCTGTGGCATTGTTCTAACCGGGTGTGCGTGTGTGAACGATCGCTAAATGACCCTGCAAACCGTACGGATCCTGTTGGAGGAGTGCATATCCTGGATGTGTCAGCAGTGGCTCCTGGAGCACAGGAAATGCCTGTCTGTGTGCGAGGTGGTCTGAAACCGCACGCACCTGTCAGCAGCGGAGCAGTTAATCACATTGCTAATCGCAGACCCTCGGCAGGGCTGCTGGCTGGCGAGACCCTCTCGCTGGAGTGTGCTGCAGGGAAAAAGAAAATCAACTCCACATGGTCCGGGCTTCCAGATGACAATAGTGGAACCGACTGTCCAAAGGGCAGGGCAGGGTTGGGTTTAATTTGCTACTTGTCTGTGCTGAGCCAGGCTGGACAGAAGTTTGCAACCTGTGGCTTGTTCGCAGCTTGCTGGTGATCTGCAAGCAGCCAGGGTGTGGTTTCCAGCTGGTAAATCTGCCTGAGCAGGGTTATAAATCCATGAGGTGCTTTCCTGATAGTGCTGCCCCATGTTGCTAGTTAATGCCGTTGCCATGAGAAGGCCGTGGGGCGGCAGAAGGGGAGCTGTCTGCAGGGATTAGTAAAATGTGGTTGGCTCTGTAGACGTCTGAGAGACGGGGCAGCAGGATGTAACCCCCTCGCCCCCTGGAAAGGAGCCTTTCAGCTTTGCTGGCCCCTGTTGGTTTAAAGCTGTGGTGGACCACTGCAGTCCATCGGCTGCTTTATGGGTAGGTAGGGATGTGAATGGTTAACCCGCGGAGGCTGGTGCAGCCCTTGTCCATGGCGGGCGTGCCACACCGTGGACGGGGCGCTGCAGCCTGGCGGCGGTGGGCGGAGCGGAGTCGCTCCAGCCTGGCCCCCCTACAACCCCCATTTAAGTGTTTAACCAGTTAAACCCAATGTTTAACCGGTTAACTGGTGAAATGGGATTTTACATCCCACCGTGTGACCCACCAGGCATTTTGTTTACTGTGCCCACATGGAGGAGTGCCAGATTCCGCTCGTTTTTGTACACGTTGTTCGTTTGCCCCCCCCCCATCAGTGCCAGAGATCATGTTTCTGTCCGGCTGAATCCCGCAGTGCCGTTATTCCAGCGTAGTGGCATAGCGCAAGAGGGTTTTTCTTGCGCAAGAAGGGGCCGTGTAGAGCCTCTTCCGCAAACTGGCGGCTCATTGTAGATGCAAATGAGGCTTGGCGATATTCCACGCTTAGCCTCATTTGCATAGCGCTGGCGCAAGATCGCACCAGTGTAGACGTAGCTGCAGTGTCCCGGCCAACAGCAGGGCAGAACAAAGAGTGACGATGGGATGCTAAGTCTGCTGTGGAAAGTGGTATTTGTAGGGTAATATCCCTTTTTATAGCAGAGATACCAGCCGGGAGGCATGGACTCCGATCTCCGACCTGGCAGGTGGAAATGCAATCCTGCGGTAATGCTCTGCCCCAGCTAGCACCTTGTGTCTGAGGATCTGACAGCTCTGTAGTATAACCTCGTAACCCTCCGTTTGAGACCCCCTGCGGTAGAGGACAGTGGCAAATGTTGTGATGGAAACATATTCCTTAATGTCTGTGTAAACTAGGGATGTCCGTGTTTAACCCATTTAACCTTAGTGGGTGAGGCTTACCAGGTAGGGCGAACCTGTGGGGCTGCTCCAGTCTTGCAGGGGGCCCGGAGCAAACCCTGTCCACAGGGAGCCCGGGCACCCCAGCAGGAAGGGCTGCTCTCATGGAGCAGCTTCTTCTGGCCTCGGGAACAGCCTCTGTCTGCAGGGAGCCCAGGTGCCCCAGAGGCAGAGATTGCTACAGTGGGGACTGGGCTCCCGGGATCCCACTTTAGTTAGTTAAGCAGTTAAACACTAGGCAAACCTAACATTTAACCGGTTAACTGATTAACCAGGATTTTACATTCCTATACACATATTCCCTTGTCTAGTCCACTCTCCTCTGGATTTCTTTTCAATCTTTAGTCTCCTACTGATGATCTCCCTTTCTCCCCATCCAATCTGGTCCTTCCCAATATTTGCTGGATAATATAAGGGACAGATTGGTAGGTACCTCAGGCAACTCCTCCGACATAGCTTCTTCATATTTCATGTTGTCCCAAGAGACTGGAGTGCTAGTGCTGTTTCTCTGCCTTACGATCAATGCCTGTTCCCATTTCTGCAGTGCCTCCTCAAATAGCTCCATCCCTGGCCAATGCAATCAAACATAAGCAGTGAAATCAGTGTCACTGACATAGCTAAAGCACCCAATAAGACTCCTTGCTTATTTGCAAAGTGGAATATTCTACAGAAGAGGGAAATCTCATCTCAAACCCAATAGTAGCCTAAACCAAAAGAGTACAAGGAAGTAACATATTTCATCTGGATGTTGTGTTAGGGATGTTAAATATCGATTAACTGAATTGTCGATTAATCTCATGAATTCTTATCGCTTACTCGACTATTCTGTAGTCCCCTGGGGTGGGGGCCAGCAGCCAGTGCACACTAACCCCACTCTTGAGAAGCCCCCTGCTTCTCCATGCTTCCTCTGTATCAGATACAAAGGCAGCAGCGTGGGGTGGCAGCAGCCCCTGTCCAGGAGGGGGCGTGTCTGATCTCTGGGACCTAGTGTGAGCTGGAACTGAGCTGGGCTGCCTGCCCACCTGGCTCCTAATACACTTTAAATGCAGGTGGTGTATATCCTGGACCTGGCGCAAGCCAGGACTGAGCCTGATAAAAAATTTACTGGGGGAGGAGGGAGTGTGTGTAGTCTATAGCATTAATCTATAAGCTTTTGCTTATCAGTTAATCAACTACACTATTACATCCCAATGTTGTTTCATTTGGGTTTTGATTCAATGAAAAGATCACCATTCCTCATACAAGGAAAGGGAACACATTTCTCCAGCTGAACAACAGTTGGTGGAACAATGTGGACATTAAGCACAGAAATGTTCATATCTGTTAGTGCAACAAGGGCCAAATGAACATGGAGATAGTACTCCTACTCTCCCAACATAAAGGGATTAGTCTTTCAAGTTAGGTTTAATTTTTTGTTTACCTTGAACGTAGAGATTTTCAGCACTAGAGTCACCAGCTGCTCCAGGATCTTCCATCGTTCTTGTCTCCCAGGGTCCTGCAGATGCTGGTGTTGGGCTGGAAGAGTTCGCAGCCACTATCTATCCAGTGAAGACAAAAAAAAGAACAGAAGCCCCTATTAGAATTTCCTTCAAGTATGACATAGACCAGTGTTTCTCAACCAGTGGTACTCGAGAGAAGTCTGAGGAGTGGAACATCAACACAACTGAAATTTGGAGGAAACTGAATTTTTGTTTTGAATTTTACAGCGCTTTATTATTTTCATTGTCCACCCAGCTACGATTAAGTTGTTTAAACAAATGTGTTGCAATGGTAGAAAAAAAAATGGTGTGTCTGAAGACTGTAGGTACGTGGATTTTTTTTTTAAAAGGGGTACTTTATAAAAAAGGTTGAGAAACACTGACGTAGACATATGGCATAGGTATGGCTAGGCTGATGGAAGAATGCTTCCATCATCCTAGGTACTGCTGCTCTGGGATGTGGATTATGTGTAGAGATGAAAACCCCCTTCTGTCATTGTAGGAAGCATCTACACTGCAAGAGCATAACTATGGTTTTGTAGCTGAGCCACTGCTGTGCTCAAAACCCCCTTCTGTCATTGTAGGAAGCATCTACACTGCAAGAGCATAGCTATGGTGTGGTAGCTGAGCCACTGCTGTGTCCATTGTGTAGGCATGGCCTCAGTTTCTCCTGCAATTTTCAGGCACGCTTGCTTTTAATATTCTCTTGCTTTTCCAAATGGCAGGGATATCAATCAGTCTACTCTTGCTTTTCCAAATGGCAGGGATATCAGTCTGTGCAATGCAAATCCATCCTAATTCCCTGGGTCCCTAAAGTTTAGTGAAAGACATTGGCGCTCAACAGCTACCTCATAGGGAGTTGAAGCTAGGATCTGGCATGAAGCATTGTGGCTAACACAACAGGCAAAATCCATTCACTAGGCAAAGTATCAACATCCTCCAGCCAAGAGATTAACCTCTTCAATCAGACAGGAAAGCACTGTTTGTACAATACTTTCTACCCTGACCATACTCACTGACTTACAAAGCAGTAAGCAAACCATGCTCACTTTGGGTATGTCTCCATTTTGAGTTGGGGTGCTGCTTCCCCAGCTCAAGGAGACATATCTGCATTAGCTGTGATCAAGCTCCTGTTCTAACAGTAGAGCATAGCTGCAATGGGAGGGGCTAGGAACCGCAACTCTATGAGACCACAGGCACATACGATGGGCTCCATTTCTGGAGGCTCCAAAATCTACATTCTGGATCACTGGTTACTATGAGCTAGGAACTGTCCTACTGCATTGGTTTAAAATATGGCAATAGTTTGATTTGTTACTATGACAGAGGCTAAACTATGGAATAAGAAGTCTTAAAGAACATGCTTTACTGCAGGTAAGGTCCTGGGCTAGAAGACTTAACAGATTTTGGTCATACATGCTTTCTGACCAACGGTTGTTCCAAGCTAATTCCCACAACTGTACTTAAGCATAGCTTAAATTTGGCTGTGCAGGTACAAGTTCTTGAGCTGGAAAGCACACTCTGAGCTCATAGTGCAGACATATCCTTGACTTAAAGAACATGCTTTACTGCAGGTAAGGTCCTGGGCTAGAAGACTTAACAGATTTTGGTCATACATGCTTTCTGACCAACGGTTGTTCCAAGCTAATTCCCACAACTGTACTTAAGCATAGCTTAAATTTGGCTGTGCAGGTACAAGTTCTTGAGCTGGAAAGCACACTCTGAGCTCATAGTGCAGACATATCCTTGACACGCTGGAAGAGAGAAACAGGAACACCAGGACAGTTACTACAAGATGGGGAAGGGAAGAAGGATTGCAGAGAAATAAATGCTGACGGAAAGCCTCACTTAAGAGGAAAACAATAGCTGGAGAAGCAATTGCAAACGAAAGAGGGAGCAGGTCATCATGAAAAATACTACAAAAGAGAATTTGTGCTGGAAACTAACACCATTCTGTTCTTTCCAATCAAATGTTCCTATGTGGGAGTTGAGCAGAAACAAGAAATGCAGTTCTAGCACAGCAGGGAGACCCGAGCAAAGCTGCACAGGCGGCGGGACCCCGCTGCCCATGCGGCTTTGCTCCCCTGCCCCGGAGCAAAGCCCCCCAGCACACCAGGGAGACCCGGAGCAGCTTTTCTCGCCCCGGAGGACGCGGTGGTGGGACCACTGCGCTCTGGGCGGGCCCCGCCGCCCGCGAGTTACTGGGCGAGAAAAGCCCCGTTCGTAAGTACAGATCCGACATAAGTCGAATCCGCGTAACTCGGGGACTGCCTGTATTCCGAAATAAAGGCTTGTAATGTAGAAATGCACTATGTTATTTTGGAATAAAATCAATTATTCCAAAATAACAGTGCTGTGTAGATATACCCTAAAGTGATGAAAAAGTATCATTCCAGAATGAAAAGCACACCTATTTCTCTTTCTTGTGGTGTCAGGAGGCTTGGGGGCTGATTCCAGGAAGCCGGGGGCAGAGCAACTCTGCCTAGGGCTTCCTGTAGTCAGCCGCTGATCAGTTTCAGCAGCGGCTGAATCTGGAGCCAGTTCCGACTTGCATACAAATTCAACTTAAGAACAAACCTATAGTCCCTATCTTGTACGTAACCCGGGGACTGCCTGTACTCCTTCCTAGACAGTTGCTTCCCATTCTGTATGTGTGAGACTGATTGTTCCTTCCTAAGTGGAGTACTTTGCATTTGTCCTTATTAAACTTCATCCTATTTACCTCAGACCATTTCTCTAGTTTGTCTAGATCACTTTGAACTATGACCCTATCCTCCAAAGCAGTTGCAACCCCTCCCAGCTTCATATCATCTGCAAACTTAATAAGCGTACTCTCTATGCCGATATCTAAATAGTTGATGAAGATATTGAACAGAACTGGGCCCAAAACAGATCCCTGTGAAACCCCATTTGTTATGCCCTTCCAGCAGGATTGTGAACCGTTAATATCTATTCTCTGAGAACAGTTATCCAGCCAGTTATGCACCCACCTTATAGTAGCCTCTGAGTTGAATTTGCCTAGTTTATTGATAAGAATATCATGTGAGACTGTATCAAATGCTAAAATCTAGGTATACCATCTCCCTTATCCACAAGACTTGTTATCCTATCAGAAAAAGCTATCAGATTCATTTGACATGATTTGTTCTTTACAATTCCATGCTGGCTGTTACCTATCACCTTATTATCTTCCGGGCGTTTGCAGATGAATTCCTTAATTACTTGCTCCATTATCTTTCATGGCACAGAAGTTAAACTGACTGGTTGTTCTTATTTCCTTTTTTATAGACGGGCACTATATTTTCCCTTTTCCAGTCTTCTGGAATCTCTCCCATTTTTTCAAATCATGAAAGCACCTTGCTTGAGAGGGTTCTAGATTTCAAATCCTCTATTAGAAGCTCACAGCTTCCAAATGCTGGCCACAGCACGCGATCCTTCAAACAAACCCTTAAATCTCAAGGGTCCTGTATTCGCTCCTCCTTCACCTGGAGAACTCCCTCTCGAAACTCCCTGTTAGCTGTCCCTGTTTGCAAAGTTCCATGGAAATAAATTTAATACTGAACTTCTGGAGGTTGCAAAGAAACAGAGGCAGGCTGAACACGCCAGGAAACTCACCAGATATTGAAAGGGTTTAACAATAGTCTTGGGATAGTTTTTATCAAAGAGAAAAGGGGGTGGAGAAGGAGTTAAACTTATCAGAAGTTAGGATATGTTTTTAGCCTGAAGTGAATTTTCTTCTCTCTGAACTTACACATCTCTTAAATCAGCTTCTTATTAAGTTTTCTAACTTATCCCATGGGTAAAACCGGATTTCCAGCAGAGAAGAGTAGCACTATAGAAGTAACCAGAATAAAGCATAAAAAGAAGTTTCTCCTGAGTAGAATGGTTTGCTTGTTTGAAGAGCGTTTGACTTTACTTTTTAAAGTACATATGCAAAAGTAGCTCTAACTATAAACCATGTGTTTCAAAGAAGACAAATTGCATTTAAATTGCTTTTCTATCTTACATGGAGTCCACTTACCCTGATTTGCACAAAACTGAGGCCCAAGATTTTGAGTCAAAGTATGCTAGAGTAGAAAATATATCTGCTCTGTAGGCTGTCTCCAAATAGGTCCTGCTCTCATCATGTTCTCAGAAGCAAAAATGGAGTCTGTCTGATGTCTCTAGTCTCTTCCAGTCTACCTACTATGAAATGACTGCTGGTGAATGTGAAAGGGCAGAGAGAGCCTGCCTTTGCATTTTAACAGCCTTACAGGAACCAACTACCAAACAATAACACCAAAGATTTGTTTTCCCACCCTGTTAACCTCAACAAGGTGCAAACTTTTGATGATAAGAACAGAAACTTCTTCATGAGTCTCACCTCCCCTCCCCTATGTTCAGGATCTTTAGTCTGACCTTTAGTCCACAGACTGGATCTGGCCATCTTGCCTATGCAGATTCTAAAGAATCTCCACTTCCATTTAAAAAGTGGTTTCTAACCCTGAGGACTTTAAAGAAAAAAATTCCTTCTAAATGTGTCACTAGTATATTAAGTACAAGCCTGAATGCACCAGCAACCTGAAACAATCAATCTACTCTAAGGTGTGAACCCTCTCCACCCCACCCATTAATCTTGTTCAGAGTAAGGACAGTATTTTAAATGCCATTGCCAGAGTAAGCTTTATCAATGGGGATCCTTTTGTCAAACGCAGTGTGGAAGGAGGTGGAACTGGAGGCCAGAGTGTGGGAACTGGGAGTTACTGCAGAGAAGGAAATGTGCAGGCAATAAGGAAAGAAAGACCCAGGAGTTGAAAAGGACACTCGCGCTCACGCACACACACCAACAAAGAAATAAAGGACAGAAACAGCAGTTGTCTTAAAAATGAAAATTTCCTCCCTGAACAGTATTAATTGTGGCAATAAGGTACTGAACGAATACATAATGATCACAAGTAAACATTTAGTCACTACACAAATGTAGATTCTATCTTTGAGCTCTATGCAAACTTCTCATTAACATCAGTGGGAGTTGACTGTGAATAGAGGATCGTGTGGCCCTAAATATATACCCGCACCCATGAACCAGACCCTAAAGCGGAATTCAGGCCTCCCTATAAGTCTGTTTAATATCCCTAGCTTAGAGGCTAATGTATACTGCTTCAAAAACCCCATTCATGTATTTCACAAACATCAAAATGAATCCTGAATTGGTTCTATAGTCACCCATTACAGAAGTGTTTCACCCTACGTTTCCCCAATAATATAGGCTAAGGATAAGACTCCAAAACTAGCTTTCAGTGGAGGCCCCTTTTTCTGCTATTCTCCCCACTACACAATCAAATTAACTAGTCTAATTATTTGGGAACAATGGCAACATGGGAGGGTTTTTTTCCCCCACCCACCCTCGCTCTCAAAACAAGAATACCAGGGAATGAGAGAAAAAAAAATCACGTATGGGGGTGGGAGGAGGGCTGCCTCCAACCCTGACTCCTTCATTTTGCTGCTCAGCCATTGGTTGGAAAAAAGGGGATGGGACTAGCTTGACTGGCTGCTGGGTAGCCTATTTGATACTTGTGGCCCCAAAGCCCTCACTTTGTAAAAGCCTTTAACTGCCTCTCCAGTTAGCTGTGATCTGTGCAGCATAACAATACAATCTGTCAGGGGTTTATTCCCACCGATCCTTTCTCTGAGACCAAGAATGAATGGATATCTATATGGTATCTTCTGTTGTCTAGGCATGGGCAAAACATGGGAAAGTCTTGAACGAGGTAGCCAGTTCTTATCCTATGGATGAAGGGAGAGGCTGAAAGGATAACTGAAAAAGTTCATGTGAATTGGAAAATCAGGTTTTAAAAACCCACTGGTTAAAGCTTTCCATGCTTCAGCTAGACTGGTAGTAGGTCTAACAAATAACTTCCTCTCAAATGCCTTGTCTACATTGACAGCTTTCAGGAAGGTGTCTCATTGTTTCACAGCCTCACTCATGGGAGCACTAGTGTAGATAGGATACAGCATCATTTAGATCGGTTCTGAGTAGAGGTAGAGAACACAGTGATGGAAATGCTGACAGACTTTGTAGCAATGGAGATACACAGGTGTGAGATCTCCTGACAACTGCCAGTGTAGACCTAGTATATGGCATAAGCAGTGTCTACATTATTAGCTGTCTTTTTTGAGCCTGTCTGCACTGCTTTAACAGGTTTTAAAAATCACTTGAAGACACAGTATAGACACAGTTTTATGAGGCCCAAGAAACCGGAACTGAACCACTTTTTTCTGAACTCGACTCAAACACTACTACTATAGACACAGTTTTATGAGGCCCAAGAAACCAGACCTGAACCACTTTTTTCTTAACTCGACTCAAACACTGCAGGTTCTGTAAAATTGGTCCAGGCTGCTTTAAATAGAATCTATGCTATAGCACTAAGCAGTTTTAATGCTGGTTAGAAAGTTTCCTCAGCAGAGAAGGGCCCTAAACATCTATATTTTGCACACAAGTTGCAGTGGCAAAGGCTGCAGTACTTCTGGGTAGAACCAACATCTGTTCTGCTATGAAGTTCTCCCTTTCTTACCTCAGTAACTGGAGACATTCCAAAATGGCCCGGTGCAGCTTCACAATTGGTTTTTAGCTCTGGCTGATCTCCAATCAGTAGCCATTAAAATCATATTGAAATTGAAGTTTGCAGAGGAGAGGAATAAAGCACAGAGGTAATCAGAATGATGGAATTTTAAGGGCCAAAATACCTCAAGCTGCAGGGCTATAAAACCTCTGATAGAAAACAAACTGTTTTTAGAACAAGTGAATCCCGCCCACCATACTAGTTCTGGATGACTAATAACAATCTTGTGAAAGTGTAGGCAGGTAGGTAGGTGTGACTCCTTCCTCTGCAAATGATGTGGATAGCAAGGGTGTTAGGATCTCTTACCGAGGCTATGCTGTGGGAGGAGCTTGAATGTTTGCTGGGCTCAATAGAGGAAATCCCGCTGAGAGTGTCATTGCTCTTGCTGCTAGGACTTTGTACCCTTCTGCTGGAGTAGCCTGTAATTGTGAGGGTTGCAAAAGAACAAGCCTTTAGTCCTTCCACTTTGTCTACAACAATCAGAAAAGAACCTGTGCAATACGATTTGGGCTTGCTCACTCCAGCTTGTCCTGTGCTGCCCCAGGTTAGCACCAGTAGAAGCAGGGTTTTCAGAAGGTTGCTAAGAGGGCAGTGCCATCTCCAGAAGAATCACTTTTCAGCAGGGTGAGAAAGGTAACAGTAACAGAAAAATCTGGTTCAAAGCAAAATGGCTTTATTGCAGTTCTGGACGACGAGGGGAACTATGATTACGTAGTGACGGAGCATAGATCTGCTGGGGTAAAGGATGTGCAGAAAAAGGACAAAACCTAGGTCTGACTGCTACAACTGAAAGTTGGAGTTCTGTTCCCTCCTAACTTGCTTTGTGACATGAGCAAGTCATTTAACCTATATGCCTCAGTTTCCCCATCTGATATGAAACGACAAATACTTATTCACCTCTTTGGATGAAAGGAGGTATGCAAATGGAAACTTTTATTGGAGAAATATGCATCAGTGTCTCAGCCTTCTTTCCTGCTATGTACAATGCTAAAATAAGTGACATCACTGCAAACACAGCAAGCAGATTTGCCAGTTTAGAGACAGTTCCTGCTATGTACAATGCTAAAATAAGTGGCATCACTGCAAATACAGCAAGTGGATTTGCCAGTTTAGAGACAAAAAACTTGGTTGACTTCATAATTTCACAATGCTGTGCAGACAACTAAACCTTGAGGAAGCAGGGTAACTGTTAATCCCATTTTACAGATGGGGAACCAAGAGAGCAATGAAGTGACTTGCCCAAGTCAGATGAGTCACTAGCAAAGCTAGTTTTAAAACACAACCTCCAGAGTCCCAACCCAGTCATCATTCCTCTACCACACCCCCTTCTTTACTGCTCCAAAGGACTGCAATGATTTTAGGGCAGGGCTGCCAGTGCCCATACTATATCCAAAAGAAGATCACATTAGTAGTTTGTCAGAAATCCACTGCCACATCTAATAGGCATCAAATGGAGCCAGTCATGGTCACCAAGGTCACTACAGGTGGGGATTACAGAATAAAGGTCACTGAATGCATAGAGCAAGTGAAAGTGAAAGTATTGCACAGTGGGGTCTATAGTTTCCTTTCCTATTAAAGCTGATGGCAACAGCTAATCCCATTGTAAAGCCCTGCATACATTTTTTGATCACTTGTTCTCTAGGGCAGCCCATTTTGCTGTCTATTCTGTATTGTGGCTCCTGTTAGGCTACCATCGGAGTGGCCTCCCACTCTCTTTCTGCCTCTGTATAGTATTTCAAACTGCTTTCATGATCTGATCTATGCACCTGGGCTACCTATGCATACACAAAAGTTCCTTCAACACAACATTGCATTTTCCTGTGGCTTCTGCTTTTGCACTACCAAAAGTTCCTTCAACACAACATTGCATTTCCCTGAAGCTTCTGCTTTTGCACTACCGACCTTTTTTCACTGAAGGGACCTTCCTGGTTGGTAATGTGGGGGCAGGGACTTCTCCAGGCTTAATGCCACACTTTTCCGGGGTGATCTGTCTCTTTCGACGTCGACGACGCTTCAGCTGGTGTGCTGCAAGAGCTAAGGCAACTGTCCCAAGAGCGGTAGCAAACAGCACCTTCCTCAGGCCTGGGGAGAGCCGCAGCTGAGAGAAGGCAGACTTTAAACAAAGAGATATAAGAAAGCAATAATGGAACACCACCTCACTACCCATTTGTATAGCAGTTTTAATCCTGGACAGCTAGGCCCAGACACTGATTTACCCACCAGCGAAATGTACACATGCATGGGGTAAACAAAGCACAACAAATGTGCATTAGTGCCCAGCCACGATAAACTTTTCAGGACAAGATATGAAGGATAGAATATCCTATCTGATACCTGGCAGACAGAATTCAAGTCCAGCATGAGTCTCACAGTTCTCTCTATAATCATTTCAGATGAGATCTTGAACACTCAAGGGCTACTTTCCCTCTGTGGAATTTAAAGATCCCATGGGACTTTTCACAAGAGGAGTTTGCCTCAGTGATCTTACTCAAAAGATTCTAGGTCCAGATTAACAACCAGAGGTGAAATGCTGGCCCGACTGAAGTCTTTAACAAAAAAAGAATTCTCTGGGACTGGATTTTGCCACAGGCACATATCAGTTACATTACAAGAGCTAAACATTATTTTATGTCCAGCTACAGCTAAATGGATGGGGAGTGGACAATATACATGTCCAACTATACCATTCTGAATGAGATCCATCATTTTCCAGGCATAGGTACTAAAACACTGCTCTAAGCATTGAGAGGGAATAGGTGGCACGTCCAAAAGAGTCTAGACAAGCCACTTTTTCAAAAGAGAGCACCCAGGCAGTCTAGATGTTCTCTTTCAAAAAAGCACAGTTTGCATTACAGGCAGTCCCCGGCTTACGTACAAGATAGGGACTGTAGGTTTGTTCTTAAGTTGAATCTGTATGTAAGTCGGAACTGGCGTCAGCCGCTGCTGAAACTGATCAGTTTCAACCGCGGCTGAATCTGGACACCAGTTCTGACTTACATACAGATTCAACGTAAGAAACCCAGGCGTCCCCAAGTCAGCTGCTGCTGAAACTGATCAGCGGCTGATTCCAGGAAGCCTGGGGCAGAGCA